CATGATATCATGCATCTCATACATCATGACATTGCATACAACTAACATTTTGCCTTTTCAGGAAAAGGTCAATCAAAAGTTATTACCATCAAACTTTCACAATTCCAGATTCGATACCTGTATCTAGCCAGGGCATATTTGTGAGCGATTAATTATAGATTCGACACCTGTATCTAGCCAGGGCATATCTGCATGAAGAGTTTAGAGATTCGATACCTGTATCCAGCCAGGGCATATCTGTAGACGACCAATTCCATATTCGATTCCTGTATCTAGCCAGGGCATATCTGTGAAGTAACTGATTGTAGATTCGACACCTGTATCCAGCCAGGGCATATCTGCATGAAGAGTTTAGAGATTCGATACCTGTATCCCGCCAGGGCATATCTGTAGACGACCAATTCTAGATTCGATTCCTGTATCTAGCCAGGGCATATCTGTGAAGTAACTGATTGTAGATTCGACACCTGTATCCAGCCAGGGCATGTCTGCATGAAAAGTTTAGAGATTCGATACCTGTATCCAGCCAGGGCATATCTGTAGACGACCAATTCTAGATTCGATTCCTGTATCTAGCCAGGGCATATCTGTGAAGTAACTGATTGTAGATTCGACACCTGTATCTAGCCAGGGCATGTCTGCATGAAGAGTTTAGAGATTCGATACCTGTATCCAGCCAGGACATATCTGTAGACGACCAATTCCAGATTCGATTCCTGTATCTAGCCAGGGCATATCTGTGAGTAACTGATTGTAGATTCGACACCTGTATCCAGCCAAGGCATATCTGTAGGCGACTAATTCCAGATTCGATTCATGTATCTAGCCAGGGCATATTTGTGAGTAACTGATTGTAGATTCGACATCTGTATCCAGCCAGGGCATGTCTGCATGAAGAGTTTAGAGATTCAATTCCTGTATCTATCCAGGGCACGTCTGTAAGCAACCTATTGAAGTTCCGGATTCGATTCCTGTATCTAGCCAGGGCATATTTGTGAGCAATCGATTGTAGATTCGATACATGTATCTAGCCAGGGCATATCTGCATGAGGAGTTTGAAGATCAACCCCTGTAACAGGCCAGGAAACCATCTTCCTTTCTCAAAGTATGCAAGTTGTCGCTAAGAAATCTCTTACGCGATCGACACCTTCAGATGGCATCTATAAGCCCATCTCCACAACTATCCATTACACTTCCAAATGGCATCTATAAGCCCATTCCCGACAAGGTTCTATCACACTTCCAGATGGCATCTATAAGCCCATCCTCCTATCCATCATCTCTCCAAATGGCATCTGTAAGCCCATTCCCGACATCACGCTGTTGATATTCTACTATGTGAGTGCAAATTTTTGGGCACTTTAGCGTTCAATCATCTTCCACCTTCGGATCGCGAAAGGCACGCAAGCCAATCTACATCCTCAGGTCTAAGAAGATTGAACAGGGGCAACTATTGTACCCCAAAATTTGCCCTCCCATATTCTTCAAAATTTGTCAAGATCAATCTTCAAATGGATCAAGGATTGCACAGTTCAAAGGCCTCCTAAGCCAGTCAAAATTAGGGTTTTGGTTCCTTCAGTGAATTTGAGGTTTTCAAGGGCTCAATCAAGTCCCATATGCTCATATACATTGTCAAGCACCTACATGTCAAGTTTCAAGACTCACAGCATCAAGTTGCACAGTCAAAAGCCCTAGTTGCTCCACAATCAACTATAGGGGTAAAATGGTCATTTGGCAGTCAAAAGTCAAAATTTTTGGTCAACATCTTATTTTGAAGCCCCAATCATCATTTGATCAATTATTGATCATGATTTCACAAGCATGGCTCAAATATCATCAAGATGCAAAAGTTTCCATTTTTGGACAGTTGAAAAGTCAACTGTAACTTGACCAAGGCATAACTTTTTCATGGTTTATCAGAAAAATCCCATCCAATGCTCATTTTGAAGGCGATGACATTTACTACAACTCATCTTCACATTCCAAGTCCAAGAAATGCTACCACAAAAAGTTATCAATTTCTACATTATAGGTCATTTTCAAAAGTCAACAAAAATGCACTTTAAGTCAAAGACCATAACTTGATATTGGTAAATCCAAATGACATGGGACCAAAGGCATTGGTTAGAGGACTTCAAGACCTTTCCAAAATGTCCAAGAACATGTTCATATGATCAAAATTGAGCAAGATATGCATTGGAAAAGTTGGGAAATTTTTGTGAAATGGCAAAAGTCAACTATCCTTAAAACTTCAATTTTTGACAAAAGGGCCCACTTTCTTCCACTTGATTCAGCCTTGTCATGCCATACACGTGTCCCATGATTAATTTCAAGATCAAACATTTATTTTTCTATTTTATTTAATTTTTATTGATTTAATACATTTTAAATCCATAATAATTCAAATAAAATCAAAAAATTAATGGAATGGCATCTTGGTGACTTGAATGGATTTCATGTGTCATATGCCAGCTCACAAATTCGTGCCAAGCCATTTTGAGCATAAAATCCAAGTTTTGCTCCAAGTATGGAATGTTCTTCAATGGTGTTAAAACAAGAATCCAAAACTTAATTGCACAAGGTTAAGGCTCATCATATCACTTAATTCTCATTCATACCTACATATGCAAGCAGTACAAACCTCATTCACGACCTAGAGAGTGCACAAACGGCCAGAGCAAAAGTAAAAAAATTGTCAAAAAGTGTGAGATCAAAGACATAGTTGCAGACATTTCCAGATCAAACTAAGCACGTGTCCCTCTTCCTTGCCATCCCCTGAAGCCAACACGACTCTTGCCAAGGCTTAAGACTCTCTACACAGCGCTGTAAGTATTCACGAAATCACCTCTGAACATAGAATCATGTTTCTCCATTCTTGCACTTTTTCTTGAAAATATTAGCATATTCACACTCCTTGCTTGATTTCCAATGTACCTGCTATATTCAATTTCATTTTTAGGCTTCGTATGACAATACCCGTGCCTAGGGTTTGTTTGCTTTGTTTTTAGGTATTTTGTCTACAGGTGAAATTGGGATAAACCATAAGCATAGACGTGATCAGGGGACATGGACGAACACAACCATGGGATTGGATGGCGTTTTTGAAGCCTAAGGATGATTTTAGGAAAGGTCCTATGGAACTTCCTGCGGATAAAAATCCGCAGGTAACTGAACCAGAGATTTGGAGAAGACGACCACATGTTGTTCTCCCATTCGTCCCTTTAAACGATCGTGCATCTTTTTTTTATTTTTTAAGCATAGGCGTTGGTTTACAAATATAATATCCACTTATTGTTATCATCTCAATTGAACACACAGCTCAACTGGCTAAGGCGTACAGGCATTGTCCCTTGGGACCTGGGTTCGAATCCCAGGTCCCCCATAATTTCCATGTATTTTCTCTTTACATACTTATGTGCAGGTTCCCAAAGAAGGTGTATCATGCACCTCACATCCAAGCGCGCCAAGTGGCCTTTCTCACAGATCTGAAGGCCAAGAGAGGATGACCAGCATACACCTTGGTCAAAGCACATGCAGCCAATTGCAAAAAGTCAACAAGGCTTGAGATAATGGGCCTCACAATTCCAGATTTCACCCCTATTCTGGGCCCAAACCCCCTTGGTTTTGTTATTCTTTTTTATTTTTCTTTTCTTTTATAATTCCTTTTTATTAATTATTAGTATTATTATTAGTTAATTAACCTTTTCACAATAAAAAATCAAAAAAACTAACATTATTATTATTATTTATTTATTTCATATTATTTTTTTTGTAAATAAATTATAATTAATTAATTAGTTTAATTAGGCAACTTTAATCTTTTTCTTAATAACTAAAATAAATTTAGACTTAGGGTTTTTCTTTTGACTTTTAATTCCTTATTTTTATTTTGTCATTAAAAACATAAAAAACACAAAAAACATTTTTTTAATGAATTAATTAATTAGTGAGTAGGCTTAATTTCATTAATTGCAAAAAAGGACAAAACTCAATTGTTCTCTCAAAAAAAGGGGTCAAAACCCTAAGGACGTCCCAATTCATTCTTTCGCGTGTATATTATTTTTAACTCGTTATTTTGTTTATTTATGTATTTGCTCCGGAAATGTAATAGTTAATTAGGTTTTATCGCTTTATTTACTTTTCTCGCACTTTATTTCCAAACGGGTTTTTGTTTTTGGCGATGTATAGACCCGCGCCTTGTAATAGCTAGATTTACCTTTCCGCACTTTATTTCCTGCAAATAATTTAACTGTTAATATGCCTGCAAGAATGTATGAAAAATAAAATCAATCCGTAGCTCACAAATAACATGTACAAGATAATATAACATGAAAACAACACACAAGCACATGCCACTCCTAGGGTACGCCTCACTGGTTGCCTCGACGTGGTCGTCAAGTATAGGGTGTCTTAGAGGTCTCCCTCCTGTCTAAGATCCAGTTGCCTCGAAACGGTTGCCTCGGATAAAAAAGGATCTAGGACATTAGGGTTACTTCTAAGGTGTCCTACTATTGCTTCGGTGATCACATATGTCCCTTATAATCGAATTGACCCGAATAACTCCAACGATGGTGCTGCCTACCTCTCAATGGTGGGATAGCACTATCTAAAGGACTCTTACACAGCCTAATTCCTTAGAGTAGGTAGATCTCATGGGTACTTGCTCTTTCAAACAAACAAAACATCTTTTCACACTGACACTTTCAAAAGTTTTCAAACAAATTTTTCATACACTCTTGAGGACAGATACAAGAGTTACTTAGAAATTTTTTCAAACGAAACTTTTTTTCAAAACCCACACACACTTGAAAAGCAAACAATTTTGAAAACATAAGAGCAAGTACCTAAGAGCCCGTGGATAACCACGGATAGAAAGGATGCTAACACCTTCCCTTTCTATAAATCTACCTCCCGAACCGAGAAACATCTCGAATAAGGAATTTTGCTGTGCTTTTGTCCTTTCCATATTGGAGAATATAAAAGACGGTGGCGACTCTTGCTTACCGCGACATTTCGCGAAACCAGCTTAAAAAACAGTCAATTCTATTTCCACCGATCACACCGTCTGTAATAGAAATTACATTAGTAGGAATATAAGCTAAAACATCTCCTGATTGGGTCTCAACTATTGGTAAAGCAGTCATACTTCCTTCACCTAATTGAGAACTTAATTTAGCGGCTCTTTCCAAAAGACGCGAATGTAAATAAAAAACATCTCCTGGATAAGCTTCGCGACCTGGTGGTCTTTGTAATAGAAGAGACATTTGGCGATAAGCCTGTGCTTGTTTTGAGGGATCATCATAAATGATTAAAGTCTGGCGTTCATGGTACATAAAATATTCAGCCAGAGCTGCTCCTGTATAAGGCGCGAGGTATTGTAATGTAGTTGGGGAATTTGTTGTTTCAGCAACTATAATAGTGTATTCCATTGCTCCTCTTTCTTGTAAAGAAGTTATGACTTGAGCCACAGAAGATGCTTTTTGACTAATAGCTACATAAACACATACTACATTTTGTCCCTGTTGATTGAGAATCGTATCTGTAGCTACTGCTGTTTTACTAGTTTGTCTGTCCCCAATAATCAATTCTCGCTGGCCACGCCCTATAGGGATCATAGAATCAATAGCAATAAGTCCCGTTTGAAGGGGCTCATAGACGGACTGTCTGGAAATAATACCGTGAGCGGGAGATTCGATTAACCGAGATTCTGAAGCTGAAATTTCTCCTCGACCGTCAATAGGTTTAGCTAGGGAATTTACAACACGATCCAAATAACCCTCACTTACCGGTATCTGAGCAATTCTTCCTGTTTCTTTTACGGAACTTCCCTCTTATATCATCAAACCATCACCCATTAATATAACACCAACGTTTTTTGATTCCAAATTCAAAGCAATGCCTACTGTACTTTCTTCAAATTCTACTAATTCACCCGCCATTACTTCATCAAGATAATAAATACGAGCAATGCCATCGCCTACTTGAAGTACGGTACCTGTATTTACAATTTTTACTTCGGTATTATATTGCTCAATACGTTCACGGATAATTTTACTAATTTCATCTGCACAAATGGTTACCATGAATATTTCTGAATTTTATTCTTTTTTGAAGAAAAACAAAAAGAAGGCCTGCCTGCCTATACTCTCAATTATAGTAGAACAACTAATCAGTTATTTTTTTCTTTCATCGCCCCAAACATATTAATATTAGCACTGATCGTACGTAAATGTAACTCGTTGTTTAAGCAACTATTCAAAGTTCCCAGAGCTCCTTGTAATGCTTGTTGTAAAACCCTTTGTTGCACTTGATTAATTACCCTTTGTTGTTCAAAATGAATGGTTTCATTTTTCTAATTTTTGAATTGTTCCAAAGTTGTATAAATTGAATTAATTAAATTCAATTTTTCTCGTTCTATCTCGGAATAACCATTCACTCGAAACCGATCTGCTTCCATTTCTACTTTCCTTAAACGGGACCGGGCTTTTTCCAGTTGTTCAATGGCTGTGTCCCGTAGTTCTTTTGAATTTCGAATAGTTCTCAAGATTCTCTGTTTTCGATTATCTAATAAATCACTTAATGAAAGTAGATTCTCTTTCCATTCATTTCAAAATGTCTATGATCTCTTCCCGAACCAAACATGAATCTTTCAATTCATTTGGCTCTCACACTCAATTCCTTATAGGAAATTTCCCCATATTTATTATGGAATGAGCCTATCCTCTTTTCTCTATTTCGAAAAATCTTGAAAATGATTATAAATACAAGACCCAAATATTTGGAGGACTCTTCTGACCAAACAAATAATTGTCAGCAAAGTTGTTTTGTTTTCTTGAAATCCAAAGAATTCTCATTAATTTATACGTAGGTCATCAGTTCTGCATTGTAGAAAAGTAGAAAAGGAGGCGTTAAACACAACATCTTTTTCCTATTTTTCATCCATCATAAAGAGAATTCAAGTCAGTTTTTCGACATGAGTGTTCTATATCGAAAAAATTCTAATTTCACTATTAACATAGTGGTAGAAAGAATACTAGACTGCATCGAAACTTCAAACTGGTTAGCTTTAACCATGGTAATGTTCCAAAATTCTTGGTTGATAGAGAATCAAAGTAGATTTCCCAATGAATAGCGAAATGCTATGGTTCTTAACTATTTTTTTTCCCGTTATTTTGTAAGAAGTCATTCGCCGGATCATGCACATTTTCCTATTTATAACAAAAAAAGTGCAGTTGGTTGTATCCAATCTATTTGAAATAAACAACTCGCACACACTCCCTTTCCAAAAAAAATCAATACACCTAGCACTGCACTTAGATTTATTAGATTTGTTGCTAAAATATCGGTATCAAACCCGAAACTTTCGGCGGATGGCCAGTAAATGAAGCAAAGAAAAGAATCAGTTATATTTTTCATATGATCGCATCTCCTCTTATGGATAGACAAAATTTCTTTCTACGATTCCAAGTTTTTTTTATTTGTTTATGATGGTTTATTCTATAATCTAATTTTTTAATTATTTAATATGAATATATCAAATTAGTATATTTTTATTCTTACTAAAATTAGTATATTAGTAAGAATAAAAATATACTAAAATTGGTTAGTCAATTGAAAGAGTCCCTATAAGAATGATACTTCTTAGAAGGAAATACTAGTTCTTATGTCAATTGCAAAATACTTAGTTGGTTTCAACACTTTCTAAATCAAAAAAGGGACGGAAGAAGGCGAATCAGTATGTTAATCCGAATGAAGAAAAACTTGTAGGAGTAAAATCTAAATAGAATGAAAAAAAAAGCAAGAGCAGGAACGAAAGTCCATGGAAAAAACAAGATGTATTTTTTTTATTAAACAAAAGGATTGGCAAATAAAAGAGCTAATGCTACAACCACCCATAAATAGTTAAAGCTTCCATAAAAGCCAGACTAAGTAATAATGTACCCCGTATTTTGTCCTCTGCTTCCGGTTGTCTCGCAATCCCTTCTACAATTTGCCCTGCAGCTGTGCCTTGACCAACTCTAGGTCCAATAGAAGCAAGCCCGACGGCCAACCCAGCAGCGATAACAGAAGCAACAACAATCAGTGGATTCATGATAAGTTTCTCCTATTCAAAAGAAAATAAAAAAATAGTTAATAATATAATCAACAAAAAATTTATGACTTAATTGTTTCATTCTTCATATTTCTCTTTATCTAGTCGAAGTGTAATTCAAAATTTCAAACTTAATAATTTTTATTAAATTATCCCAATTACTTCGATATTCACTTTTTTCGTTTCTACCCTTGTAGTTTTTTGTAAATACATACAATTTTTGGTCTTATCTTACATTTTAAACTTTTTTTTTCTTTAATTTCATTTTTTTAGTCATTTTTTTTATATTCAATTCAGAATTACAAGAGATGGAATCTTTTTTTTGAATCCCTACCTAAATTTAGAGTAGTAGCAGAACAAATTTAGATAGATCGTCATATATAACTAATGAATATCTACTATGACATATACATGTGTTTGTTCCATACCGTAAACCAATGAGTTGTATCTTAGATTCAATCAATCATTCTTGGAAATCCCCCAGCTGTCTTATAACGATTAGATTATATATACACCTAGTTTGACCCCCTCAACCTTTTTAATTTATCTAATCTCTATTTATTTTTTTACAATTCCCTGGTAATTGTTGTAATTTTCTTTCTACTTTTTGATTTTTATTAAACCTTTTTAAAATTTCTTTGAATTTTTTAATTAATATTCCTTAAGTATATTATCGCGAGCCACACATACTTTGTTGTGGGCTAAAACAGGATTTTGATAACTAGTCAATGATGCCCTTCCATGGATTCACCTATATACGTCGCAGCTAAAGTAGCGAAAATAAGAGCTTGAATACCACTTGTAAATAATCCAAGGAACATAACAGGTATAGGAACTACTAAAGGTACTAACGAAACAAGAACAACAACTACTAATTCATCTTCTAAGATGTTAATCGGTAAAAGGATTGGTGTTGGTTGGATGTATTTACCAAAATAGGCCAATCCCTTTTTTGAAATACCCGCATAGAAATAGGCTACTGACATAAGTAAAGCTAATGCAATAGTAGTATTTATATCATTTGTGGGTGCAGCTAACTCTCCATGAGGTAACTTTATAATTTTCCAAGGAAAAAGGGCCCCTGACCAATTCGAAACAAAAATAAATAGAAACAGAGTTCCAATAAACGAAACCCATGGACCATATTCTTCTCCAATCTGAGTTTTGCTCACGTCTCGAATGAATTCAAGGACATATTAAAAAAAATTCTGACCTAACGTGGGAATAGTTTGCGGATTTCTAACAACTATAATGGTTGAAATTAATAAGATAGCAATTACAATCCAAGAGGTAATAAGTACTTGAGCATGCACTTGAAAATCCCCTATTTGCCAATAGAAATGTTGACCTACTTCCACAACAAATATATCATAGAATATGTTTAATGTGTTGATGTAACATAATAGAACATTCATATTGCCCTGTCCTCTAAAATAAAAAAATATACCTTGAAAGGGAATTATTTTGATTCAACCATTTCCTTATTTTACTTTGATTTTCTATTTTGAATACCTAACTAATCACAAAATATTTCTTTTTACACAACTTTGTAATGCTATAATAACCAATTCCAAAAATCTATGACCGCACGCCCAACCAAATCTAAAAATTGATTTATCTTATTATTAATCAATTTTTTTGTATATAGCTAGAACGAGCCTCACAAATTGCAAAAACTAATTTGTTAAGGATTAATCTGATGGAAGCTATAGCATCATCATTAGCCGGAATTGAAATATCTGCAAGATCTGGGTCAGAATTTGTATCAATTAAAGAAATCGTTGGAATTCCCAAAGTGATACATTCTTGAAGAGTCGTATATTCTTCTTGCTGATCAAGGATTATTACAATATCAGGTAATCTTGTCATATATTTTATACCGCCTAGATATCTTTCCAAATGAGATAATTGTCTCTTCAACATAGTGGCATCTCTTTTTGGAAGAGAGTTCAATTTCCCCGTCTTTTGCTCCGTTCTCAAGTCCCTGAACTCACGAAATCTCGTTTTTGTAGTATACCAATTCGTTAACATACCTCTGAGCCATTTTTTATTAACATAATGACATCGAGCTCTTATTGCAGCCCGCGTTACTGAATCGACTGCATTTTTTTGTACCAACAATTAAAAATTGTTTTCCTGTGCTTGCTGCATCAAAAGCCAAATCACAAGCTTCTGATAAAAAATGAGCAGTTTTAGTAAGATTTGTAATATGAATACCTTTACGTTTTCCCGATATAAAAGGTGCCATTCGAGGATTCCATTTCCTAGGCTCATGGCCAAAATGAACCCCAGCTTCCATCATCTCTTCAAAAGTGATGTTCCAATATCTTTTTGTCATTGATCCCCACACTTTTTTAAATAAAAAAATTGAAAAAAAAATAAAGAGAGACCCAGTATCCTGAAATAGCAATAAATAATTATTCCGATGGAACCTTCTCTTTTATAGACGATTGTCCCTTAAAATAGAATCAAGCCATTCTTTTATTTCTATTTATTATTATTTTTTATTCTACTTTATTACCAAATCAAATGACTGCTTTTAAAGATTTTAAGGGGCTGAGTCGAATCTGCTTTTAGGAACCATTTAATCCTATATTTCTAATAATGTATCACATAAATTCTTTGAAATGATAAAAATTAAAGAATTTTCTGTGATGGAACAAAAGATTTTTAATTTCTACTTCGAATAATTTTTTTTCCGGGTAATCTTGTTATGTTACCTTGACCGTGAACGGTGCATTATTCTTTTGAATTCGGTACCAACGAGTATCATCCCCCCTAAAACAACATTCTCTTTAAGACCTTTCAACCAATCAATACGACCCCGAAGAGCGGCTTTTGCTAAAACTCTAGCAGTTTCTTGAAAACTCGCTTCAGATATGAAACTTTGAGTATTCAGAGATGTTTTTGTTATTCCCAATAATAAAGCTCAGTAACAAATGGGTTCTTCCAAGGCACGCCCCATTCGTTCTGCTCGCAATAATCCAATTAGTTCTCCAGGTAAAAATACATTAGACATTCCATCTTCTGAAACCAAGACTTTGGATGTTATTTGACGCACAATAATCTCGATATGTCTATTATGGATATGTACTCCCTGGGATCGATAAACCTTTTGGATTTTATTAACCAAAGAAATACAACTTTGCGCTATAGTTAGCTCAACACCAATCAAGAATCCCCAAGGCATGCCGAGAATTTTTGTTATACACTCGTTCCAAGCATCAATTCTTTTTTCTAGATTCATGGATATTGAATGAGTTATTAAATGATAAAGTGAAAAAAAATTCGCAACTTGAAGGGCTATTCCTAAAGGGCCGAACAAATTATTATTATTAATTGAAATTATAGGATCTTTTTTTATTCCATTGTGAGATTTTACATTGTTGAATGGTCTCATTTGAAAACAATTAGATGATGACAAATTATCCAAGATCGACATTCTTTATTTTTATTCAACAACATACGAATAGTTCCGTGATTTTGGCTAAGTGATTGTTGAATTTTTCCCTTGGAATGAATAGAAAAAAGGGATTGATTCGATCCAATTGATTATCCCAGATCAATCCTAAACTAGACGGGTCATTTCTTTATCTAATATATGAAGTATTAGATTTGACTAAGTCAATTCTTATAAAATACTCAATCAAACCATTTGTACTTACTTCAATAAAGGAAGCGGGGGCCTCCTCAATAAAAGAACTTTTTTTCCCGTGATCCCAATTGAAGACTAAACAAGTCCGAACTAATTGAATCCTTGTGTCGGAAATTCCCCGAATGGATTTTCCATTTCCATAAAGAATATAATTGACAACTTTTAGTTCCAGATTATCCTTTTCCTGGAATAGATCTTGGGGAAAAAGTTTTACAAAATTGATAATGTCCGGTATTTCATATAAATTTACAGGTCGAACCAAAACAAAATACTTTTTCTTGGTAGTTGCGATCCATTGGACATAAATCCAATTTTAAATTTTTTTTGATTCCTTGCATTTTTTTTTACCGTTCCGGGCGGTCTCAAGATGGCACTGTGTCGGAATATCTTATCCATCTCTCCGGGAAAATGGATATTTCCAGAAAATATTTTTAATTCTATTTTTTTTCTTTTCTAATCGGACCAATCCGCCTACTCGACTTCTTATATTGAAAGTGATTGGTGTTCCTATTCTAACAAGACTATTATTCCGTACCATTAGGGAAGAAGATTCGGGTAAAATATGCACTTCTTCGGGAATAAATTTTTTTTATCTACTTGAATTTGGTATTTTGGATTTACTTCTTCGATTCCTTGATACTCACTGAAATCTTCTTTTTAAAAAATAGAATGAATTCCTATAGTTGTATATTTAGTAATTCCTGAACTCTGTCTTATGTATTGAGGATCATTGAAATAAGCAAAAATACTATTTTCATGAAAAATACCATTGATAGATATTTCAATGGAGACACCGGAAGGGGACATTAGTTCATTCTTGAATCAATTGCAATGGAAATGGAATAAAAAATCTATTTCTTCGCCTTTTCGCCAAGAAATAAAAAGTATCGTTCAAAATAGCAGGATACATTAAATCAGAATGATCTGTACATATGATTTGATTCAATATTGAAGAATCGCTAATCCACTTTTCTTTTGTACCAAAAGTATTAAATTTATGTTTTACTTGATCATTCCTTTCTAAAAGATTCGAAATATTTGTTTTTCCATTAGAAAGTGAATCCATGGTAACTTGATCTTGATCCTTACGAAGTAAAAAATGGATTGTATTAGACCTGCACGACTTTCCTGACAATATCCATAAATGACTTGTTTTTGGTAAGATATGTACATTACTATATATAAATTGTGATGTATGGTACACATCGGTACTCCAATGCGTTTCCCCTTCTGAGTTAGAATAAATATGTTTTTGAACCCTTTCAAAATTCTTTCTGGCATCATTCCATTTTGGGTGTTTACATAAATCCCACGGATGGTATCGCAATTTGTTCTCCGTACAACAATGTGTTGAACCACTTCAACAAGTCGACGTGTAAGATATCCAGCATCTGATGTTCGTACAGCAGTATCTACAACCCCTTTACAAGCTCCGTAGCAAGAAATTATATATTCTGTTAAAGACAGTCCTTCACGTAAATTACTTTGAATGGGTAAATCAATCATTTGTCTGTGTGGATCTGACATTAATTCTCTCATTCCGACTAATTGGTGCACTTGAGATGCATTTCCTCTAGCTCCTGAAAAAGACATGATATGGACTGGATTAAAGGGGCCAGTCATCCTAAAATTGGAATTCATTTATTGTCGTAAATATTCTCTTGTAGCATACCATATTTCAATGGATTGGCGTAATTTTTCTACCGCATGGACATTTCCATAATGATTATGTTTTTTCAAAATGGAACTTTGTTGTTCAGCATCTTGGACTAGCCATCCTTTTGAAGGTATTGTTAAAAGATCATCAATTCCTAATGAAATAGATGTAGCAGTAGCTTGATGGAATCCTAGAGTCTTTACTTGATCTAGGATGTGTGATGTATATGCCATTCCGAAATGATCTATTAATCTGCTAATAAGTCGTTTAATGGCAGTTCCACCTATCACGTTATTGTGAAAGACTAGATCGGCCCGTTCTGCCATAAGTACCTCCATATTCCACTCAGTGTTATTCGGTTCGACAATGGATTTGAGTTAATGAGTGGAAAACTTCCTTTTCTTTATGTTTATTCACGTAGAAAGTTGAAAAGGTGCTAGTTGACCTGAATTTACACCAGTATCATAAATTGACTTAGCGTGGATACCAACACTAACCATTTATATGATTAGATACCATATGAATCGGCTCGAGAAAAACCTTGTATAGCTTCTTCGATTTCTCGATAAAAAGAAATATGACCAATAGTGGTTCGAATGTATATACAACGAATTTCTTTTTTTATACTTCTTATTACTAAATAATCCCCATAAATCTCATAATAGGTACCAAAAGATTCATAGTGAACTTCGATAGGAACTTCTCTTGAAGACATAATGCATTGATCTATTCGCCACCGGAGCCAAAAAGGATTACCAAAATTTATTCTTTTCTGTCTATAAGCTCCAATTGCATCATAGGAATTGCAAAAAAAGGATTCTTTTTTTTCCATATACTTCAAGTTATTATTGCTAATTTTTCATTGTGAGAATTTCGGGAATTAAACGAATTATACCTGTTTGCACAAATACCTCGACGATTTCCACTAGTTAATACGTAAAGTCCAATAAGCATATCTTGAGTTGGTACTCAAATGGGACCCCCAATAGCCGGAGACAAGAGATTCATATGAGAAAACATAAGTAAACGAGCTTCTGCTTGAGCCTCCAAAGATAAAGGCACATGAACAACCATTTGATCCCCATCAAAGTCTGCATTGAATCCCTTACACACCAATGGATGTAAACAAATAGCACGTCCTTTGACTAAAATGGGTTGAAATGCCTGTATGCCTAATCTATGCAAAGTAGGCGCTCTATTCAGCAATACTGGATGCCCCCGCATAACTTCTTGAAGTATTTCCCATACAATGGGTTCTTTTTCCCGGATTTTCCTCTTAGCAACTCCTATGTTCGAAGAAAAATGGTTTTGAATTAAACCACGAATTAGAAACGTCTGAAATAGCTCTATTGCTATTTCGCAGGGAAATCCACATCGATGTAATGAAAGTGATGGACCTACGACAATAACAGAACGCCCTGAATAATCAACTCGTTTTCCAAGAAGAGTCTCTCGAAATCTTCCCTCTTTGCCCTCAATTATATCAGAAAACGATTTGTAAACTTTATTATTACCGTCCCTCATTGGTTGTCCACGGATTCCATTATCAAGAAGTGTATCCACATCTTCTTGTACCAATTTTTCTAGACACATTACTAATTCCTCTGGTGTAGATCTACTTGTTGTTAATAGATCAATAAGAGTATTGTTCTGATAGATAACTCTTCTATAGAGTTCATTAATATCCGAAATCATTAGTTTACCGCCATCTATTTGAATAATTGGTCTCAATTCGGGAGAAAGCACTGGTAAGAGACATAATACCATCCATTCTGGTTATATATTTGTTCGAATAAAATGCTTAGCTAATTCCATGCGTCGAACCAAAAAATTCTTTCTTCTTCCAACTTTTTGATCTTCCCATTCATTTTCATTGTCAGTGGACCCCTCTTCTCCTAATTCTGTCCATTCTAGCAACAAAGAATCTATAATCATTCTTAAATCCAGATCAACTAATTGTTCTCGTATAGCACCCGCTCCACTATAAATTTCTCTATTTCGAAATGTATCCAAATGTTGAGTAGCAAAAAAAAGTGGGAGACTGTATTTCCAGGATTGGATTTCATAGTCGAATGAACCTCGTAATCGTAAGAAAGTTGGTTTTTTAACTATGGGCCTAGAAAAAGAAAATTTTGGATAGGATCCAATAAGATGGATCTCCCCCTTTGAAAATCGGACATGAGGGTTTCCTCTCATCCGGCTAAAGTATTTACACACAATTAAAGATAAAGAAAGGGGTTTCTGCTTTCATATTTTTGAAAACCTCTAATCTAAAATATAAAATAAAAAAGGTTTACTCTTGACTCAAGTTATCAATAAATACCAAGCAACATTTCATTGATACATTCTTCGTTTTTTCTGAATTTTTTATGCAATTCGAAATTCCGACAAAAATAAAATGTAAAATTCTTGAGTAGTCTACCTCCCTTCGAACGAGGAATCCTCTAAAATGAAATTCTTAATAAAAAAGGAATATCTTCAACTTCATAAGAGATTTCTTTGTCTCTATATCATACCGTTTGATCTTTTAGGTCAAGACATCACCTCGACGGGTATGACACGATGTCTTAAAGTCTATATGCGATAGATAAACTTCTGCAATCATGATATATTTTATTCTTTGAACATAATTTTAGTTCTTTTAAAATATAAAAAAAAGAGATGGAATAATGAATTCTACAAAAAAGTATTTTTTTTCAAAGGGTACATACAGTATAAAGAGTTTTTTGTTACTGAATTGACCATAGACCAACTCCCTTATTGGGAGTATTCAATACACCCATGAATTGAATTCTGAGCTTCATGTTACTCATCCCAAGAGACATGCCAGATATAGGACATTCCAATTTAATTGAATGGAATGATAGTTTTTCATTCGAAATCTGTACAATAAGAATTTTTATCAAATCACACATCGCAGTATACTAGACCGTCTAATTCTTTAAGATTTTTATCTAAAAGGCTCGCGATATAACTAGGAAGACATTTCAAATACCACACATGGGTTAATGGACATGCTAATTTGATATACCCCATTTGATATCTACGTATCCGAGAATCAACAAATTCTACTCCGCATTGTTCACAAAATTGAGGTTGGTCTTTTTTATCTCCGATCACTCTCGATAATTTCCACAAGCACAAATCCCACTTTTTATAGGCCCAAAAATTCTTTCACAAAATAATCCATCTTTTTCAGGCTTATTGGTTTTATAATGAAGAGTATTAGGTTTTGTTACCTCCCCAACTGTTTCTCCATTAGGTAGGATTTTTTTTGCCCAAGCACTTATTTGTTCAGAGGAAACTGATCCAATTCGAAGGTGTTGATGTTTATACTGATCAATCATAAAATAAAATTTTGGATTCAGTCCAATTAAACTTCCTTCCTTTGAATATGAAAGTCTTTCTTAGAGACAAGGAAATGATTCAGTTCCAGAGCCAAAGATCGTATTTTGCGAACGAGCAATCAAAAAGATTCTGGAGCATCCACAGGTTTCAGTATTGTTCCTCCACTAATTGTAGTTCCGAGTACTTCTTGACGAGCTTTAATATGATCAGATTTATAAGTAAGCATCTCTTGTAAAATATGAGCAACATTGAATCCCTCGAGGGCCCAAACTTCCATTTCGCCTACCCGTTGTCCTCCTTGTTTGGCCCTTCCTTTAAGGGGTTGTTGTGTAACAAGTGCATAAGGTCCACTGGATCGTCCATGTATTTTATCATCAACTTGATGAATTAATTTCAAGATATAAGGCTTTCTTATTATAACGGGCTGTTCAAAAGGATTCCCCGTTCTTCCATCAAATATTCTGCTCTTTCCCGGATACTCGGGTTCAAATATCCATGGATTCAATGTTTCTTTACTGGCCTCATATAATTCAGAAAACACAAGTTTTCTGGAAGCCTCTTGTTCATATCTCTCATCAAAAGGTGCTATTCGATAATGTTTATTTAGCATACTCCCAGCTAATCCGAGCGAACATTCTAATATTTGTCCTACATTCATTCGAGAAGGGACCCCTAATGGATTGAAGAGCATATCAACGGGTCTTCCATCTTGCAAATAAGGCATATCCTATCTAGACAAAATCTTTGAAACGATACCTTTATTTCCATGTCTCCCGGGCACTTTATCACCTACTTTGATTTCACGTTTCTGTGAAATATATATATGAATTGTTTCTGGATTATAGGTAGAATCCGCTTTTTTGTGGAGCCATCTCACATCAATAACTCGTCCCCTACCACCTATAGGTAGTTTTAGACAACTTTCCTTTGAGGTGGATACCTGAATCCCAAGTATAGCTCGTAAGAATCTATCTTCCGGGGCATATGAGGATTCTTTTGCCATTTGAGGCGTTAATTTACCCACTAAAGTATCGCTCATTTCTACCCTAGATCCCAGAATTACAATTCCATTTGTCTAAATTTCGGAGTAAATGCGCTTCTAGATGTGGAATTTTATTAGTGATTCTTTCAGGACCATGGCTTGTCACATGAGTCTGAATTTCATATTTCCGTATGTGAAAAGAAGTATAAATATCTTCATAGACCAGACACTCACTAATGAGTACAGCATCTTCAGAATTGTAACCTTCCCATGGCATATATGCTACTAATACGTTTTTTCACAAAGCGAGTTCACCACCAACTGTAGCAGCACCATCCACTAAAATTTGTCCCATTTTTATGCATTTACCCTTCTGAACCTGGGATTTTTTATGCATGCAAGTATTTTTGTTGGAACATTGATATATAATTAATGGAATACTTAGACCATTCCCACTTCCAAATAAAATAATCTTCTCAGTATCATTATAAACGATCTTTCCCTCGTGTTCGGCTATAGCGGGAACTCCCGAATCTAAGGCCACTTGGCATTCCAATCCAGTTCCAACAATGCACTTTTCGGACCGAGAAAGAGGAACTGCTTGACGTTGCATATTAGAACTCATTAAAGCTTTATTCGCATCATTATGCTCGATAAAAGGAATGAGGGAAGCTCCAATAGAAAAATATTGGAAGGGAAAAATACTTCGAAGATGAACCTGTTCCCATGCAATAGTAAGAAATTCTTGACGGTATCCAACTGGAACAATCTACTCCTCCTGAATACCTCGATTCAGTGCTAAAAAATTTCCCGTCGCTACCATATAGTATTCATCTCTAGTTGGTGATAAAGAAAGCATTCATATTCTTTTTTATCTCTTAGAAATTTCATAAAATGGACTTTCTATAGACCCCCAACGACCAATCCTTGCGTGAATTACCAAGGATCCAATAAGTCCGACATTGATTCCTTCAGAGGTGTCAATTGGACAAATGCGTCCATAGTGACTAGGATGGATATCCCGTATCCGAAAACTAGTAGTTCGCCCCGTCAATCCTCCAGGACCCAAAGAACTCAATTTCCTTCCATGAACTATTTGGGTCAATGGATTGGTTTGATCTAAAACTTGAGATAATGGATGTCATCCAAAAAAATATTCATAAGTGGCTGTTAATGGCGTTGAAGTCACTAAATTCTAAGGAGTCGATATCAATTTATATCTAATTGCTCCACATATAGTTCCTCTAATTAGATTTTCTAAACGAACGAGAGCCAATCCAAATTGATCTTGTAAGAGATCTGCTACGGAACGAATACGTTTATTTTTCAAATGATTCATATCGTCAAGTGTACCCATTCCAAATTTCATTCCAATCAAATGATCCATAGCTGTTAATATATCTCGCAGTAACAAAAATGTATTGTTCTCGGGTATATCAATATTCAGCCTTCGGTTCATATTTCGCCGCCCAATTCCTCCTAATTCACATCTTTGTTGAATTTTTTTTTGTAATTCCGTACATAAAGATTCAGGAAATATGGGATCTCCGCCTACACAAGCAAATTGTCGATAAAACTCCAAAATGGCATTTTCTTTTGACCTTAATTTTTTTCCTCCTATTCATTGAGGAAAGACAAGAAATGTTCAGGGTAACAAACATTCTCAAGAATTTCACTTAAATTCGAACCCATAGCTGATGATAGAACTAGAATAGATATTTTCTGTTTCCTACTTACACGAGCCCATATCCTTGCTTTTCTATCAATTTCTAACTCTAATCTTCCTCCCCAATCTGATATTATTGTGCCAGTATAGACTGAAATTTCGTTATGGTCCAATTCTGACCGATAATAGATACCGCGGCTTTGCAATATTTGATTGATTACAATTCTATATATTCCATTTACTATTAAAGTTCCCATGGAATTCATTAGAGGAATGTTTCCAATAAAAATAATTTGTTCTTGGATATCCTGACTGTTTTTCCAAATTACTCCCGCGGATATATATAATTCAGAGGAATGTGTAAGTGATTCATATACAACATCTTTTTCTTTTATTGAGGGTTCTACCAATTGATATGTTTCCGCAAATAACTGAAATTCAATTTCTTGATATGTATCTTCAATTTTTGGAAACTTCAAAAGTTCTTCTGTTAAGTCCCGATCAATGAATCTACAAAACCCTTCATATTGTATTTGATTCAATCCCGGTAGTGTAGACATTCCTTCATTCCCAACCCCAAGCATTTTTTATTACCCCTTTTTTATTTTATAAAAAATATCCCATGATTTTCTATCATTCTTCATCGAATCACATGAATATATTTAACAATAATGGAATTTATGTTCTTTTTACTTTACTGAATCACATGAAATTTTACCTCACTACGTCTATGAAATACGCATTATGAAAAGAGGAATTTTTCTACTCAAATTAGAATTTGCAACAAAACAAACAAATAGACTTTTAGTAGAGTATGATATTACATATTCCAATTTGATTGATACCCCAAAAATCAATTCAGGATTTGATTGGCTCCATGAGAGAAAGATTTTAAAAAGAAAATAATCAGAAAAAATATACAATTTTTTTGAGCCCTTTACCATTTCAAGTGTTCAAAAAAGAATGAAAATTAACAAAGAAGAGAGATATTTTGACCCTTTTTTTAGAATGAGAGGATTGCAGTGCATAAAAAGACTTGGATTTATGAAACATGCATATATCTAACTTCAGTTGTAGCTATCTATATATGTCTATTACGTTATTGCAATCCTATTTGTTCGGGATATATATAATTCAGAGGAATGTGTAAATGATTCATATACAACATCTTTTTCTTTTATTGAGGGTTCTACCAATTGATATGTTTCCGCAAATAACTGAAATTCAATTTCTTGATCTGTATCTTCAATTTTTGGAAACTTCAAAAGTTCTTCTGTTAAGTCCCGATCAATGAATCTACAAAACCCTTCAAATTGTATTTGATTCAATCCCGGTAGTGTAGACATTCCTTCATTCCCAACCCCAAGCATTTTTTATTACACCTTTTTCATTTTATAAAAAATATCCCATGATTTTCTATCATTCTTCATCGAATCACATGAATATATTTAACAATAATGGAATTTATGTTCTTTTTACTTTACTGAATCACATGAAATTTTACCTCACTACGTCTATGAAATACGCATTATGAAAAGAGGAATTTTGCTACTCAAATTAGAATTTGCAACAAAACAAACAAATAGACTTTTAGTAGAGTATGATATTACATATTCCAATTTGATTGATACCCCAAAAATCAATTCAGGATTTGATTGGCTCCATGAGAGAAAGATTTTAAAAAGGAAATAATCAGAAAAAATATACAATTTTTTTGAGCCCTTTACCATTTCAAGTGTTCAAAAAAGAATGAAAATTAACAAAGAAGCGAGATATTTTGACCCTTTTTTTAGAATGAGAGGATTGCAGTGCATAAAAAGACTTGGATTTATGAAACATGCATATATCTAACTTCAGTTGTAGCTATCTATATATGTTTATTACGTTATTGCAGTCCTATTTGTTCGGGACAGAATATGTTGTGTTCATTTTTTTTCTATTCATTCATCAACCTATTTCATGAAAAATTGGCAAAAAAATGAAAGTACGAGAATTTATTGAAAATTCCCTGTAATCCATAATTACATAGAAAATACCCAATTATATAATGTGTAACAATGAAAAGTGATGTTACGGGGTTGACATATATTAACAGTTCCTGTTATAATGGAAATAGATAAGGATTATAAAATTCGATTTTTTAATATATATATATATATATATATATATATATATATATATATATATATATATATATATATATATATATATATATATATATATATATATATATATATATATATATATATATATATATATATATATATATATATATATATATATAATATTGATTTGTTATGTATCAATTTCGATTTTTTTTTTCTCATTAAGAAATTCAGATTCCTGAATTCTTCTGGAATTTGTAGTTAACAGTTGCTATTTGTCCCGAAATTTTTACTTTTTTTTTTTACTGAAAAGGTATACATTGGTTTTTTTGAGAGGAGGATATTCTGATCTATTTTTTTGTATCATTTTGGCGGCATGGCCGAGTGGTAAGGCGGGGGACTGCAAAATCCTTTTTCCCCAGTTCAAATTCGCGGTGTCGCCTGATCGACAAGAGAATCAAAAAGGGTTTCTTCCATTTTGTTGATACAGAAACTTAGTATTTTTTCCATGTGGAAGCAAGTGTAGGGACAGAGTTCTTTTGTTTGATTCAAGTTCTACGCATTCGCTAGATTTGTTCTCTAAAATGCTTTTAAATCTTTGCGTCTCGGATTCAAGGAAAAATTAATTAGAGTAGGGAAATGAAAAGGAATAGATCAATCTTGAAATGAAAGTCTTTTCACTCGTACTACTGGCTGTAGTGTTCGTCTACTGATTGGGTCTTGAATTAGATTGGATAAGGATAGGTAGGACATGGAATATAATTCCATTTTTAGTTGGCGAAGGGATTGAAGAAAAACCGTCTATATAACGTATGTAAAATATATGAACCGCTTCTGCATTTTTTCCATATTTGTTAGATTAATGAAATTGAATATCTAATTTGATTTTTTTTTATTTATTGAATTTTATTTATTTATTGAATTTAATGATATTCATATTATTTTTTTACTATGAATTTCATTTTCATTTCACCCAATTCAAAAAAAAATCCATTCCATTTGATTTCATTTCCATTCTAAGAAAAGAAAACTCTTTCTTTTGGGTAATCGATAGTAAAAAGAATTTAATAGGCTGTTTTCCAATTGTTTTAGAACGAATCGGGATACAATAAGGATTATTAGATAATGCAAATAAGAGTATGCAAAGGAATCTATCTTGATCCTTTATTTTTTTACTTAAATAAAATGAAATGGGGGGGGGGGGGGGGGAATAAAAATAGGTCTTTGTATTTCAACCTATTAGTATGATTCATTACCTTACTACTTCTAAGGATATTTTTTATTTATGCTGAAAATTTCTCCAATTCTACTCCGAATCTGATAAGAACTTGCTAGATGTTCTAATTGAACTATTTTAGTTATTTTATTAATACTAATTAATGAAAATTCTATCTGATTTAGAAATTCTATTGTATTCCAGTGGTTTACTATATTCCATGTATATCATATTGAAAAAAAACTCTTTGAATCAACCATATATATTTAATTGTTGCCATTTTTGATGTCCCGAGAATACAAATAATTGGGAAACGGATTACTATTCAAAACCAAATTCTTTTTAATATTTCTATTCAATTAAATCAATTGAATTTTGGAATACTCAAAAGATTATTTCTTTTTATTTATTAGTTACCGGGATTCTGAAAAGAATCTGAAATTAAAAAATGAAAATAACAAGAATAAAAATTGCGTTGCTTTTTAATTATTTCAGATTGATTGGAACCAATACAAATAGAATAGATTTAGATGAAATCAAGAAAAATGTGGACGCCATGGAATTGACATTCCATATCTATAGATAGATATCCATCTATCCATATGAAAACAAAATTCTAGATTGGTTCCTCCATATTAAACCTCTTTTTTTTAGTAAAACATTCTAGTTCTACTGTAATAGATAAAATAGTAGAAAGAAATAGATTTGATTTCTTTCTACTATACTAGGATTTAATAGAATTCTGCTGGTTGTAGTCTGATCATTTTCTTAAAAAAACAAAAGACCCGAAATAGAAATTCTTTTTTCATTTTTTTCTTCAATCATTGCATTGATAAGAAATAAGAAGTCATGTTTCAGTAAAATTTAGTCCACTTTGACTTACCGTTTTTACATAAATTGTAAGTAAAAAGGCAGTAGGAACTAAAATGAAGAGTGCAGAAGCTATAAATGCGAGAATATTTACTTCCATAATCTCTATGTTTTGATTTCTCTTTAATGTCTAATAAATACTTCGGGATTTAATCCCATAAAAATGAAAAACCTTTTGTCACTAAATTCAATGGGATAAATTGGATCTCGATGATATCAAATTCGGATCAATATCACGAATAACAATATCTGAGCTATCAAATCAATAATTCATGATCGAGAATTTCATAGTATAACATCGGAAGATGTTTTATCCATACCAAACCAAATAAGAAAATGACTTGCTGATGCAATCAAAAAGTCCTTTTTCTTTCTTTGTCCGAACCTTTCCCTTAAACTAAAAAAGAAAGAAAAAGGGGGATACCTGTTTGAATTGATATATTTTTATTCCCTTATCATAAACGAAATCAATTGATATTTTTTGGATTTGTATCCATCGGGACTGACGGGACTCGAACCCGCAGCTTCCGCCTTGACAGGGCGGTGCTCTGACCAATTGAACCTACAATCCCACCAGGGAAAAAGTCATCTAGTATACACAC